AGATACTTTATAACCACCTATTAGGAGCTACTTAGGGCTGGCACTGACAGAGTAGGAATATAAATTTACAAAAATGACTAATCAAGGCTTTTCCTTTGAATTCTTAAATCTTATCTGTCTTTTCTGGGATAATGTAACCTGCAGCTATTAATCCTTAGTGAAAGTCAGTCTCCTTATGGTTTTGTTAATGATCTGCAAGTCTTATCTCCTTGAGATGGATTAAATCAGTACCAGATCACCATGTAAGGAACTGTGTCTGCATGAACAACGGAGAGACACTAAACCGCTAAACAGGGATTCTCAGCTACGTTCTCAGACTTTGAAGGAATCCAAGCCTAACCCCTTGTTTTCTGGGAAGGCCCCTATTAGGTGGTTTAAAGGAGATTTAAAAATAATCAGCTTCTTATATAACTGGTAATAAGTTATTTAAACTGTGACTCTGCTTCCCAGAATCTCTGTGATTGATACAGACATCTTATCTTGATGACCTGGAGGCTCAGCCTTATCTGAATGATAAGTTGTTGTTAGGTGCCCTTGAGTCAGCTATAATTTATAGTGACCCTGTGAACAACTTATCTGAACCCCTTCCTATCCTGTGTCATCCACACCATCTCTGACACATTCAAACTCATGGCTGCAGGCACTGTGTCAATTCACCAGGCATTCCACTCTTTTGCTGTCCCTCTACCTTTCCAAACATGATGCCTTTCTCTAAAGAATAGCCTCTCCCAGCAACATGTCTGAAGTTTTCTTATCTTTGCCTCCATGGAGCCCTCTGGCTACACCTTCTCCAAGACACAGGCAAACTCTAAGTGACATAGGTAACAATAATAAACTTGTATTGAGTTCAGAGCGCTTCACTGTTGTTCTCAGATGTTACCAACCTGGATCTCAGATTTTGGCAAGTCCGTGAACAACAGGATCGAATCAGTGGGATCCACAAGGTTTTCACTGGCTGATTTTTGTAAGCAGGTCTTCAGACTTTTCTTCCTAGTTGATCTTAGTCCAGAAGTGCCATGCATTCTTGTCACAGCCCTTCAGGCTTCCACCAGCTGACTGTACTTTTGGCTCTATGTCAAGTACTTTTGCAGGAATTGAGCTCATAGCTCACGCAGGGAAGGTGAGAATACTACCACTGAGCCAACTCTGACCTTAAGTTCTTCACTACTGTTAATCCAGATGTGATGCATTGGCTGTCAGGGGGACAGTTTTCTGAAAAAGTCCTGTGGCTCCACGGAAGAGATCACCACCATCAACATGGTTCCAAGAACCTCTAGACACCCATGTGTTGATTGGACTATCCATTTATATCTGGGATTTTCACTTCTTGAAAAAGAAAAAAAGGGTGACCATTGATTGGGCAGCAGCTGTATGCCAGGTTCTGTGATAGACGCTAAGTTGTAGGTGTGGTTTCACTTAATATTTATTACTTGCAGTTAAAGTCATATATCCAGCCCCACAGAATATATGCTATGGCTTAGATCCTAACTCAGTTCTATATAATCTCAAAAACATTCCTCCCTCCTTTGTACCACCTTCCTCTCTGACATCTCTGAAGAACTTGGTCTTTTGAGTTACAATATTAACAGCTTTAATAATTTTCTCCTAAAAGGCTCTGAGGGTCCCTGCCACCCCTTCCTGGTTGATTTGGAAAGAGCTAGGACGGCGTGTGCCTGTGAGGCATCTTGGTTGTTAGTCTTCCCCCCAAAACTGTAGTCAAGATCAGGAGGTCACGCTGCTGCTCTGACAACCCAGAAGGCCTCCGAGGCTCTTGAAAACAATTGTTTTCCACCCCTGCCAGCCTCAAATGAGTATGTTCTTAAAACTGGAAAGGAAAAATAGAAATGAGACTATAAACATTATAGACAGCTCACACACTGTGTTGGGAGTTCACACTGTTTCCTCAAAAACACTGAAGGGATGTTAGCTTGCCCAGAACTGTATTGCCCCATGACTTGTAGAACTCTCTCTGATCTAGTTTAATGAGTTAATTGATTTTCTTAAGTAGAGACTTTATGAGCATGGTATAAATTGAAAATACTCGCATGGTGTCACAGTAGACCTCCTGCAGGCAGCTGAGGCAGCAAGCAAATCACATTCATGCTCACCATCAGGCGCTCCAGTCCAGGATAACAAGCCCCAGCCTTGGCATTCTGTGCCCCCAGTAGCTTGTTAGCTGGGCAAGAGGATCCTTACTATGATGTTTGCCTCCTTTGTTTACTGATAAATGCTGCATTTTGAGAGCCTGAGTTAAGATGTCACATTGGGGGGGTTCAAACCTCAGCCATAAGCTAACCTAGATGAGCCCCCGACTATTTCACACAGGCCCAGCACAGCCATACCCTAGTGCACACCTGGACCCTAGTGCACACCTCCCTTCCTCTCGGAGAGTGATGCTTGGGGGGTTTTGGAATATTTCTTCACCTAAGTAAACATCTGTTGGATCATCTCAATTCATCAGAGACAGTCTGGTCCTTTTGATCCTCAAAAGAATCAGCAATTTGTTTCCTTTCTTCCCATGACCCTCCTGAAAGCCTGAGTCAAAGTCCCTTCCTTGTGAGCCTAAGTGATGTTAGGACACACAAAAGAGGATAGTACATGTTTTAGTATTTTAAACATAGTCTATATAAATGACGTATGAAGCCTAAGTGAGGTTAAGCAGCCCTGGTCGAGCAAATACAAATGTTTGGCTATTAGCCAGAAGGTTAGTGGTTTGAATCCACCAGCCACTTTGCAGGAAGGAAATGAGGCAGTCTGCTTCTTTAAAGATTTACAACCTTACAAGCCCTATGGAGAAGTTCTGCTTTGTTCTGTTGGGTTACTGTGCCTTGGAATAGACTAAGTGGGATTGAGTGGGTGAGCAAGGCTATTTTTAGTGATATTGTCAAGAAGAATGCAGAATTTTTCTGCGTCTGCATTTCTATACACCAAAGCCTATGATAACGTTATAGCAGTAGTCTTTTACTAAGTAAGTCAGTCAATGTAAGCATATAAGCGCACCCTAAGTAAGGAATGAGTGCTATAGTTGGCAAGGACACAAGCATATGTATCTAAATGTGTAAAAATTAGAATACTCATAAAAACCTCATTGTCGTTGAGTCAGAACAGACTCTTAGCTGACCCACCAGCAGGTTTTCAGAGACTACAAATCACACAGGAAGAGATTGCCTGTCTTTCCCTGAGGAGCCGCTGGTAGATTAAACATTCAGTCAGATTATTTAAGAGCTTTCGTGAGATAGTTTGTGCTGTCAGAAAGTTGGGCTCTGCCATAATTATTTAAAACAAAACAAAACAAAAAAACCAACCAGAATCAAAAAGGGTCAGAGGGCCCTGAGAAGACTTTCAGGAGGACATTTGGAGGTCATGGTGGCATAGTGTTTAGACTCTCCACCACTGATAAAAAGATCAGTGCTTTAAACACACTGTTGCAGCTCTGGTGGCCTAGTGGTAAGAATCTGTGCTGCAATCACAAAAGGAATGTGGTTCGAATCCACCAGATGCTCTGAAGAAGAAGGATGGGCAGTCTCCTCCCTTGCAATTTACAGCCTCTGAAAACCTGCTGGAGGGTCAGCTGTAGGTTGGTTCTGACTCGATGGTACACAACACACAATAACAACAGCCGTGTAAACACTCTGGGCCATTTCTGCTCTGTCCTGTGGGTACCAAGCCACATGTAGATTGCCCAGGAGCAGAAGCTTAAAAATGCTAAGGACCTGCCCCTAGAGTCAGTGCACTGAATTTGAATTTCAAGGTTTCTCTATTGTGAGAACAGAAATTCTTTTAGAATCATCTGTTTGGGAGATTTCTGCACTAGACAACTTAGGTTATCAGATGACCCATGTTGGTGGTGACTGTAGACAAATAGTAATCTACTTTTTTAAGTAATGCTTATTTTTCTTTATCATGGTTAAATGATGTTACTTTGGGACATCTAGTTGACTGTAACTCAAAGCCATGATTAAGTACTACGGTTAAATATAGTATTTAAAAACCTTTTACATTAGCTTTTAAAGGGAAGATGTAAAATGATTGTCTGTGAAGACAATTATATAGCAATTTCATAAATGTGCATTCTCTTTAGAGTTGTGTGTGCAGACATCGTAAGAAACAGAAAAAAGCAGGGGGCATAATCTGATCTATTTGGAGATTCATGTCTCTGGCTCTAGGGAGTATTTTTCCATGCACTAAAAAGATATCAATAGGTTCCTTCATGAGCCTTTTAAAGCAGTGGCTCTTAGTCAGGATGGCAAGGGAAAGAATGTAGTACTTCATGGAGTTCTGCAGAGTGTTGTGTCTGGGATTAAGTTCTTTTTCCAACCCTTGATTCAGCCTTCCTGTAAGAACCACGGGCCATTCGATCAAGAGAATCATTGAATTCTTCTATATTTATGTTCACTTTTGAAGACCAATGCCATACAAAACTCAGTTACCCTTGAGTTACTTTCTGGGAGAGAATCAGACTTGGCATGGATGTCAGATACCAATTTTTGTGCTTTTACCAATAGCTCATAATTGAAAATTTTAGTGTTTATATCTTCCAAACCTACTTTTTGTTAAAATATTTTGCCTTTAGTAAAGGGAATTGAATTTATCAGATCGATTTGTGAGTGATTAAGAAACTATGAAAAGATATAATGGGGTAAGTAACACATTATAGCCTCTTTTGGATGACCCCCCCCTTTTCTCCCCAATAAATTTAAATATAGAAGTTAATGTAAGGGGCAGGCCTTCAAAAAGGGTGTGTGTGTCTGAGTGAGAGTATTATCACCAAATGAGAAATTTCTTCCTTTTCAGAATGAATTTTTGGACTGTGCTGCATAGTTCTTGTGTGTACATACTATTTCGCAGAGATGTGTATGAACTTACCAGCCTTCTCATTGTTTTCACTGAGATACCATCCTTTTTATGTTTCATACATTTCCCCAAACAACTTACTCCAATCCCACCCTGTCTCCAAGAAAACTCAGCAAGAAACTCTGTATTTTTGTTTCCCCTCATAGATTGGCGGTTGCTGCAGCCTCACCATGTTCTGCATGCGTGACAACAGGTTAACTCAGCTACCCGCAGAGGTGTCACAGGCGACAGAACTGCATGTCCTGGATGTAGCGGGGAACAGGTAAGCACCGTTGGGTTGGCGGGGCTTGAGGCTGAGAAATATGTCTGCTCGATGTCTGTGTCTTCATTGCCTTTCTGAGCTTCATCTTCTAGAATAAAGGCTTTGTTGGTCACATGGCCCAGACCAAGGAGTTTTTCAAATGGAAGACCGAGCGTTTGTGTCCATTGTAATCTCAATGAACAGGGACCATGTGAGCAAAGGGTTGTTTATGTTGAAGGGGATAGAGATGTCTGTAAAATAACATTGCCCAGAATAACAGTTCAGCATGGCGAGGAAGCAGACATCTAGTAAGACACAGGTAAAGTAAGTCACAGGCTTACCTTAGCTTTTGTAAGTCATCTGGATTTCAGGGCCTCCATCTGCAACAAGGTCTCTAAAGTCAAATGAGTTCAACCTAGAATTTAAGCAGGAACCTGGGTGGGTTCTGCTGCTGCCTCTGAAGCCCCTGAAACTGTAGCTAAATTGTATTCAGGATTCTCCCCCCCCCGCCACAATCCTCACCTGCCAAAAAGTTAAAAGCCACCATACTTATTTCCCCAAGGGCAAAGCAGCACCTTTCTCGGGTTCTGGGATCACAGGTACTGTTTCACTGTGTGCCACCTTCTCGTAGGGGTGCTGTTTGGCCTAAAGTGGGTAAGGAGTTGCCAACCAAAGTTGGTGTTGCCAACCAAAAGGCGTGAAGCTCAAATCCACCAGCTGTTCCTTGAGTGAAAGATGGGCGGTCTCCTCTGGAGCCTTTTATAGTCTCCAGAACCCACTGACTGTTCAGCTCACAGTCAGTTATGACCTGGCAGCATGTAACCTTCTAGAAGGTGTGTCCCCTTTGCTCTCATAATGGCTCAGGTTTGTTTCAGTGGCTCTGAATTCACTTCAGCACTTCCGATATTATATGCAATCTCTTTCCCTTGAGCTGACACAAACTCTTTTTTGGGATCACCCTTCCCGCCTTTCTCTTTCATGGCTTATGCTTTCTCTTCTCCCAGAGGTTTTCTCTGAGTCTGCTTTAGGGAAATTCCCCTGCCATGGCGTTCAGATGGCGGGGTGAGAATTGTCCATCTATGTATGTTGCCTGTCCTATACTAATATTATAACCATAAAGTTTGTTCTCCTGGTTTATGTGTTACATTGTATCACCAGGATCATGGTTGTTGGCTGGTAAATAGTTATTGGCTAACTAGAAACATGAATAGCTTTTGCAGATGAATAGCAGACCACTGCATAATCTCAAATGGCATATCCCATTGCCAGAAGGAACTAAAAATTTCCTTTCAAGTGGGATTTGATTAGAGAGGGAAGCATTTGCACGCAGGGAAAGATGATCAATGACTTAAAAGCTGGCTGAACACCAGCAACATGAACGGTGTTTAGGGGACTGTCTCCCCCATCCCGCTTAGCTTAACTCACATAGGTCAGGCTCGAGTCGGCATTTTTCATTCTGGCTAATGCATTATGGACAGCAGGGCTGAACAAACAACTGCACTCTGCTGGAGCTCAGAGGTGAGTTACGGCCCCAGGGAATGCTCACCTTTTAATGTTGAAGCTTTTAGGACATCTTGATAGCTTCTTAAGACCACTGACTGCTTGCTAGAAACTCAGGACTGGTTAGAGTTGCATATTGGATATCTCCTGAATTAAGCCTGGCATAAGACATGGACTTGAAAAGGAGGCTTCTTTCCAGACCTCTCACCTCCAGCAACAGACACTCAATGACCCCAAGCAACCTCTGGTTCGCACCACACTGTGAGCGTGAATTTGTATTGCTAATTCTTGAACAGAAAGATGGTGCCAGTGTCTCAAAACATCTTTCCCTCTGCCCCCACCTCATTTTTAAACTGTGCCACCTGAGTGAAGCTTCATTCTCTAGTTCTCAGAATATGGGAAAGTTAAATTTTTATTGTGCTTGGACTTGGGTGGAAAATCTCCAGTTAAAACTAGTTACATAGCTGTCATCTGAGTCAGTTGAATATGTCATTTAGTCCATGTAAGTATAGATTCATAACAAATGTTAGGCCTATTAAAAGATTTAATTGCTGCTTATTAAACTATCAGTATAGAAACTAATAATAATCATTTTTACAAAGGTTACCATGCCCTCCTTTTAGTTTGCAGAAATATCTCATGACAGGAAGTCATACCAAATACAGCTGAGATATCTACCACTTCTCAAAAGTAGCAAGTAGCAGGAGGACTACCTGTTAGTTCCCAAAGCTTTCTTTTACAGGATTGATGGATTATTTATAGCAGAGATATCTGTGAACTTGAGCACTTGAGCACAAAATGTCAAACTGACAGTAAGAAAGATAGTAGTCTTCTGTCACCAGCTACTTGTGGGCACAGAATACAGAGTTACTTAATTTACGGGCTCAGTTACACAGAAATATCCTTAAGGGTACACAGTTGGGTTTCTGAAGGCATTTGTGCAGCTTTGCCGTAATTGGGTTGTTATTAGGTCGGTTCCCATGGTGATAGAAGAGAACTGTCCGATGGCTTTTCTTCACTATAAAGTTTTAAGGAAGCAGGTTATCAGGTGCCTTTTCCAGAGCTGCTCTGTGAGTTTGAACTGCCAGACTTTGAATCAGCAGCTAAGCACTTAATCCTTGAGTCCACAGGTGCTCACTCCTTCACTGTAGGATTCAACAGCTAAACTCAGCTCATTGCTGTTGAGTTGAACCAAAGGAGAGCTGACCCTCCAGCTGATTTTCAGACTCTAAATTGCAGAGAATGAGACTGCCCATCTTTCTCCCTCAGAGCAACTGGTAGATTTGAACCACGTGCCTTTGATTTGACAGCACTCTGTCTTTGATTTGACTCACTCTGCCAACAGAGCTGCTGGAAACAGTGGTTAGTAATGGGGAACTGTTTGTACCTTAAAGTTTGTAGTTTACTTAATTTTTATAAATAAGAAAACATACCAGTATGACCATACTGGGAGGAGATACTAGGCAGCTGGAGAATGTCCTCTTTTTCTCTATATGAGCCATGAAGAGAGTCCCTGGTGTGGAGTGAAGAGGATAAGTTATTGAATTATTCTTGTTGTTATGTGCCTTCCAGTTGCTTGCAACTCATAGCAACCCTGTACAGTAGCCCTGAAACCTGCTCTGTCCTGTGCCAACTTGACCGTCTCTGACACACCTATCTTCATCACCCGAGTCACTGCATCAACCCATCTCATCGATGGTCTCCCTCTCTTTCTCTATCCCTCCACCCTTCCAAACATGACGTCCCTCTCCAAGGACTGGTCCCTTCTTGCGACATGTCCAGAGTATGTCAGACGAAACTTCAGAATCCTTGACTCCAAGGAGCAGCCTGGCTTTACCCTCTCTAAGACGAACCTGTTTGTTCTCCTGGTCAGTGATATACTCAGCATTCTCCTCTAGCAACACAGCTCAAAGGCATCAGTTCTCTTTCTATCATCCCTAGTCATTGTCCAGTTCTCCGATGCATAGCAATTGTGAAGACTATGGTCTGGAGCAGGAGCACATTAGTCTCCAGACTGGCATTGTTGCTCTTGAGTTATTGAATAGTGTCTTAGTTACCTAGTGCTGATGTAACAGAAATAGTCCAAATGGATGGCTTTAAAAACAGAAATGTATTCTCTTCCTAGTTTAGGAAGGTCGAAGTCAGAATTTGAAGCACCAGCTGTACAGGAAGACGTTTGCTCTCAGTTGACCAAGAGTTTAAGACTCAGGTCCTTGTCTCCTTTTTGCAGCTGTCCGTCTGGGATTCCTTGGAGATCCCTGTGTCCCTTGACAGTCCCATGTTAGTGAGGTTTCTGGCTCGGAGATCCCAACTAAAAGGATGCGATCTAAGTTCTTCCCACTTGTTGGTTGGTCCTAAGATTCCTGTCTCTTTACTCTCTTCAGTCTTTTATCTCTTGTAAGGTAGACCATGTCACAGGCTACATTCAGGGACACTCTCCTTATGTTGGACCAGGGCTATGGAAGAAGTAAAGATGTTGCATCCTTAATCCTCTTATAACTGATTGGTCATAATGATTGGGGGATCATTATGTAATGGTCATGTTACATTATTACATCTAAACTCTGGATCCTGGCCCAAGCAAGGGAACACAATTTCTGGAAGGACATATGACAAAGCATATGTAGTATCTCTCTGTATGTATTTAACACAATGCAGTACATCAGAATATTAATAGTAGTTCTTCTAAACAGGTGAGTAGAGATGTACAGGGTAAAGGGAGTTTTCACTTTAGATTATTTTGGTGTTTAGTTTTGTTCCCCCACCCCCGATCATGTCCTATCTATTTTTAAACAGTTTTTAATGTTCTCTGTAATATCTGTTTAAACACACTTTTTCAAAACTCTGCTTTCAAACGACATATTCAGGTATGAGACATAAGCAGGTGAAATGGTAAATTGTAAAAATTCCATGGTATGATATCGTCACATCAGTAAGTAGGACATGTTCAGTTGGTGATTAAATGTCACAGCGCAAAGGAGTTCCAGGGCAGGGAACATCACTTCAGGCTGTGTGCGGAACTGACAGCCAGTTTGCTTGCTGTGGCCCTTGTACGATTTGTGTGAGCAGTAAGCCCAGGCTTTTTTTTTTCCCCCCTGAGGGCATTTGTACCTAAATAGAAGGTGGAGATGTGCAGACATGGAGCTGTGGTTTCTTGTGTTTACTTGGTTCATCCTGTAGTGTGCACAGGGTACCAGAATAAACCAAAAAGCGTATTATTGGCTCCTTTGGAAATGAGAGCTGTATTTTTAAAGTCTAGCTCCTGACTTGGAGTTGGGGCGACTCACCCAACAGGAACAGAAGCCTGTGTGTGTCTTGTCTCCCCGCGCTCTGGAGCAGCAGCAGGAGGGTTGGCACCACCCGTAGAATTTCTGTTTGTAAACGGCCTGGGGAACAGGACCTTTTTCTCCTCAGCACCACCGGGGTCACTTCTGTCCACCAGACACTTGTGACCAAACCCACGTGCTGTGAGCCCCAGTGCAGTAGGCACAGCCAAGCTGCTCTTTGCTGCTTCGCAGGAA